GTGCAGTCACCAAACTAACAAAATAGCCTTAGAACAATCTTCTCATTTACTCGTTACCCTTGTGGATGCTCCAGAAAATTCCAGAAATGCTGTCATTGAGCATCAAAAACATAAACGTTTTCTAGGGGAGGACTGCAGACCTCTCCTATTTTCCTCACAAGTCACTTACGTGCTGTGTAATGGAAAAAAACGTAAAATTGGGGCGAGTGAAGCTCTCCAAAAGAGATTAGAGTGGGAGAACCTAATATTCTTTGCTGCCTGAAATGCAAATTTAAGGTTGTTATATGTATATTGAATATCCATGATTCCCAGTTACATGTTTTGAAACAGTTTTTGCGAGTGGTTGGGTAAAACAAAACTTTGCAGGAACTTAAGAGCCTCTAGATTCAAATTGTTTTGGGGAACACCCCCTAGCTCTTAAATTGCACCCCAAATCGAGTTTGTCTGGCTTTTCTCCCACCCAACCACACCGTTATTCTGTCACCTATATGCTGGTAAAAAATCCTTTAACCCCTTCCCCCCAGTCAAACACCCGTTGCTTTCGTAACATCACTAACATCCCTATATGTGCAGTTCTAAATTTTTCTTTCTAAATTTTTCTTAAAATAAACCCTGCCTGTACATATGAGAAAATTAAGGTGAAAAACAAGCAATTTTAGCAAAAGGCCTCGCATACTGACAGGGCCGTCCTCAGGAAATTTTCAGGGGGGTGTAAGGTCATTTCAACCGACTGACGAACGAGCTTGTACAGACCACATGCTATCCATGGAAGCTCGTAAAATTTCCGATGGAGGTCAACTAAATTCAGGGACCGCGGAACTATTTTTTTATTAAGGGGGCTATAGCGAACGCCGAAGGCGTGAGTTTGTTAGGAAGGTCCGAGGGCATGCTCCCCCGGGAAATTTTGAAATCTGAGACCTCCCAGAGTCCCTGAAATGTAATCAAATTTACTAGTTGCTGTTAAAAAGCTTCTTAATTTAATATAGACGACTCTTAATCTAATATAGTTGGCTATGTAAGTTATAACTAGTATACTTATCAGTAGTATAAATGTTGACTTGCTCCTTAATTTGACGATATATAAAAAAACGGCCTCATCTTTCCAAATTAACAACAACCCAGTTTAAATACAATCTCGTGAGCTCCTAACCCATCGTAACTGACAGTAAGCTCAACACTAACTTAATCGTTGTGACGTCATTATTGTAAATATGAATAAATCCTTGTTTCGATCACAAATATATATCTTTGATCTTGACCGTAATCACAACCCATACCTAACCCTAGCTTTATTGCGCGCGAAACATGAGAATCTAACCATAAACTTTTTTTAATCTTTCTGTCCTACCGTTAACTCTAATATCTGTGACATCAGAACGACAATAGTATGGAAACTTGCACCCGTTTTTGGAACCTTTTCACTATAGACCACAATATCAGCCAATAATTATTTTAAGAGCACACAGATTATTCAATGCTTATAATTACACAACAACGAAACACTGTATCACTATTAAAGACCACAAACATTACTTCAAACTATCACAAGACCACAACTGTACAGTGAGTGCGGACTGTCCGGTATGTACTGTTTAAAACACGAGCAGGAGTGCTTTATCAGATATAAAACACGTGACTACGTGAGCGCAGCTCGAATGTTTTAGTAAACATTAAAAAACTCATTAATAATTCATGAAGAAAACACAAAGAAAAATCATAAGCGTGTCGTATCTGTATATGTGATACAGATTCACGTTGATTTACATAAACTTTTAACTTTGATTTTCTCGGCTTAGACGTTTATTTTTAAAATTACTTCGCCAATGAACTCATCATAAGATGAGTCGTTTTTTAAGCCATTTCGCGTCCGTGTTGTATCGGATATACAAACTCTCGCCTTCGGCTCGAGTTTGTATATCCGATACAACACGGCCGCTCATGTTGTAAATAGTACTAAAAGCCCGGTTCACATATACCTACTTACACCTGCGTATGTCGGCGGGCTATTGACATGCAACAACTGTTCTGAAAAGCTGTGAACAATGATAGCGCAGGTATACCGCAGGCATATGTGAACCAGGCTAAAGAAAGAGTAAAGTAAAGTGCTTAGCTGATATTTTACTTCGCTTGAATATGCTTCTTCGCCAAATTGCCCTCTTTTGATTTTACTGAAGCGAAGTCGATCGTTTAAGAACTGAATATCGAACAACATGGTCATTGGGGGCCTCCTCCCTGCTCCGCTGTCCCTGAAATTTTGCCCGTTGTGCTCTAAATAAAGCCTGTTCTAAATCGCCGTATCTGATAATCGAGTTTTTGGCGGGAATATATTGTGTTCAGCGGTTCTACCTATCAAACATGCTACATATACTTCATTTAAGATCTTTTGTATCGCTATATGGTTTAACTGTCAATCTGGGCTTGTTTTACTAGCGGATTATAATGATTATATCCTGCTGAATAAATTTCGATTAACCAAAATTATTCGTCAAAAATATTTTTGTCTGCCGACCAGAATAGCAGTCCTGCCGACTGAAGCTTCGAATAAAATTTCTGGGGGATGTCACACACCCCCCCCCCCTCATAGCTCCGGCCCTGCATACTGAAATTTGTCGATGATCGTAGGCGCACAGTATCACTCAAAAAACAAATATTTAGACTTTGTTCTGGAATGGACCGCGAGCAGTCCCTCAGGAGAAAGGAGGGACCGCCGATAACGCATCAAGAAACGAAATACGCCCACTTTTCGCTGCTGTCTTATATTCCAATTATATTTATCCAATAGGAACCGTTAATGTCATGTTTATTTATAAAATCAACTATCAGTCTGGAAATTATTTATAGCATAAATACTACGTATCAGATTTGATTGACAGCCGTACCGATTTCGACCAATGGGAATTTTGCGTTGTGTGGGCAACGCGTATTTTGTTTCTTGATGTGTTGTCGACAGTCCCTGCTTTCCTTTCACATGCCCGGAAATCTAAACCCCGCGTAAAGGAGGGACCGCTCGCAGTCTGGGACAACAAACGCATGTAGCTACTGCAAATATCAAGTACCAATATTTCATTAATATTACGTTCCTTCTCGAAATTATTTGCTATCAAAAACACACATCTTGCAAGAAACTTTATTTTCGGCCGTGTTTCAGCGAAGAATTCTTGACTGCTAATTTCCCGATTGCGACAAGTAATTGTGGTCTTGATTAACGTTTATTAACGTTTACGTCAGATATCTTTCTTTTATTTTTCCTCTACTGCAGTACGAGGAACAGGGTAACGATATTGTTTTCACAATTTTTGCTGGCAAAAAGAAAGTGTCCGCGATTAATTTGATCAGCGACGACAGTTTTCCCACCTGTTTATTCCTGCAGCGTCTGCAGCTTTTTATGGTAATGCGCATATAATTACACAGGGAGGATAACCAACCGTATAACCAACCCTACCGGTGTTTACGGTCCTGAAAAGCTATTCCCTTATACAATACAGGCTCACTAGTAATTAGTATAAGTAATTATGGAAAGGGTATTATTAATAGATCTATATAATTATGTGCTACTATAATTTAAAAAGAAATGTTGTTCTTCAAAACTTTTAAACTTAAACTGATATTGAGCACGCAAGGCATGAATGGTATAACTTTCTATTTAGAGTCCCGGGAAATTTGCTTTGTAACAATGCTCGGGCATGTATAATGAAAATTTTTGATGCATGTAGGACTGTTTGATTCACTAAGTTAATGTCCAATCGTAGGCTCTAAATAAGCAATGTCCATCATACCTTGCGCGCTCAATGTTTAAGGTTTATAGATACAGTATACAGCTAATTGAAAAATAGGTTGTCCTTCAAAAAATATTAAACTTTAAACATTGAGCGCGCAAGGTATGATGGGTATTGCTCATCTTGAGCCTTAGATTCGGCATTGGTTTAGTAAACCAAACAGCTCTACATCGAAAGTGTTTATTACAAGCAAAATTCCACAGTTTAGAGTCTTTAGACGCTAAATAGGGAGTTAAGATTTAAGATTTTTGAAATCCTTTTCTATCTTCCCAATGATTGATATTTAATTTTGTTTTCTTTAGGGCATCAAAACGATTTATTGCCATTCTGGTAATAACTGTTTATCTAACTTTGTTCACAGCTATTCTTACATATTTGCCAATCAGTGGTTCGTTAAGTCACTACCTGGAAAATGATATAAATGCAAGAAATGAAATACGTGGAACGAAAATTGGCGGTTTAACCACCAAAATTAAAGGAAGTTTTGGACGTGAATTAAAGATTAAGATTGATGTTAAAAACCATGATATATCAGCTTTATCATTCAGGTTTGAAGAATTACCTATTCCTCCGAAAATCCAAGCTGAAAATCGAGCAAACCGATCTTTTGAGAAATATGTTTTCGTCCATTCAGAATACACTGAACAAATGTCTATGAGTACCCTTAGCCTTTTAAGTCTGTGTGGCCAGGCCCAATTCGGTGGTAGAAAAGTTGTACGACCGTTCGTGCGCAAATCCAGAATAGTTAGCTCAGAAAAAAATGCCGTCTCGTTAGCCATTCTCTATGACTTACAACACCTGAATAAACTTTTAAACGTGGCTGGTTATTCACCTTTGGTTGATAAACAAGAATATCAAGCCGAATGCAAACATACGGATCCTAACCATGTAACCATTCATTTTCTTTACCTCGGAGATACGACAAAAAATTGGAATAAATCTCATTTAAGAATCACCAGTGAATTTTACGACTCCATTTTCGAGAAAACGAAGGCAACCGGATGGACAAACTGTTCCTTTCTTGATGAAAAGATGGGGAATTTTCCTAGTACGAAACAGTTTTGCATAAATCCCGCGATTATTACAGATTGGAATGTACTTGAAAGGGACATAGTCGGTGGTGCAAAATGTTTAATTATTTACCTATGGAGGGGAATTGGAGGTGGAGTTTATCGAAGTCATTTCACCGAAAATCATCTGAAATTTCCTCACGATGCTGTTCAATTTACTTTAAAACCAAGCAAACCAATACAAAACGAAGTGGCGCGTTTCAGAGAAACATTTCTTCCAGATCGTTACATAGCACTGTATGTACGAGCTGAACTAATACTTCTACCACATAAGTTTAATTTTCACTATCTCAAAAAATGCATCAATGTTTTAGTGGATGTGGTTAATGAACTTAAAGCCTTGGTAGGAATTTCGCATGTATATGTCGCATCAGATATGTCGAAACATGGCTCGGGTTCGTTGTTGAGTTATGTAAACCGTAACCTTGACCATAATCCATTTCCAGAAATTTTTTCCTCTCTCATATCCAGAGTTGGTGGAGTGGTGTACAATTACAATGCTTCCACAAGTGAGATAACAGATCGTGGCGCGATTGCAATCGTGGATGTGACACTTCTGACACAAGCGCAATATCTCATCACGGCAGGAAAAGAAAGTATGTCATCGTTTCTTCGTTGGGTGATTGGCACTTTCCTGGCAAACCGCCGGGACGATAAAGACTTGTGGTCCAAAATTTCTGTTTGTGACATGTAATGTAATTACGATTTCTTTACTGCATCGCCTTTATAATTCATTGCTGAATCATAATTCGGAAATATGTATGCTGGCAGCAGGGACGGCGGAACATATTTTATTTTGGGGGGCCTAAATTTTTTGGGTGGATTAAAATTTTCTCTCCCCCCCCGTCGCCACTTTTTTTCGGACATACACCAAAAAAAATTTCCGGACACATACAAAAAAGGCGCTAAAAAAATTTTTGCGGACCTATAACAAAACAATTTTGCGGATGTACACATTTTTTAAACATAAAATTGCAAATTTTTCCCCTTATACCTAATTTTTCCAAAAATACCCTAAATTTTCCCTTAATTATCAAAATTTTTCCAGAAAAAACAAAATTTTCAGGGGGGGCTAAGCCCCCAGTTTTACTTCTGGAGGGCTTTAGCCCCCCCTGTTCCGCCGCCACTGGCTGGCAGGGATGTAGCGAAGACTTTAAGGTGGTGTTAGGGTCCAAATTGCGTGATTTATTAAATTACTTTGCACGTTACCTAAACCGGATTTTGAAATTTAGTATGGTTTTTCATTTGCATGTTCAAGTAGTAACTCTTTCTTTCGAAGGAATATATTAGCACAATGGTATAGGGCAGGGCCGTAACTTCGGTATTAGAGAGTTTGAGCAAGACAATGAAGTACGAAGACGAAGGCATACTTGACAATTTTTGCCGTCTGTACATTATCTTGCGCATACTGAGTTGGACGTCACTGGTGGTTGCACAACGTGTCTTCCCATGTGTCGCTGTTTATGAATACAGAATACTGACCATAATTCTTGCCCTGATCCAGCAAAAAAACAGCGAGACATGAAACTATGTCCCGTCTTTGTCCTTCTGCCTTCGTGCAGAACGAAGTTCACATGCAACGAATTTTGCCAAAATATTCGTTGTGAACAAAGGCAGAAGACGAAGACGGAATATGGATTCATGTCTCGCTGTTTTATCCTGATCAGGGTAAGTATTTGGGTCAGCATTCACAAACAGCTAGACATGAATCTCTAATCTGTCTCCACTCCTGACCCTAAACTCAGAATGCGCAAGGTAATGTGAAAGACAGGCAAAAATTGTCAACCACGTCGTCGTCGTCCAACTTCGTTGTCTTGCTCAAATTCTCTATTACGGCTGGGAGGGGGTGGGGAGCTTGTTTTGCCCTACCAAAAGGGCGTGGTCCAAGTCGTGCCCGACGGTCATTTCAGTCGCTAATTAATATTTATTTTCCCAAAATTGTTGGCGAGCGGGCTGGGGAGAATTTTCTGACATACCATTTTTCACTGACTTTCGAACTAATGTACCGTAATTTGTACAATTTTTCAGTAATATTTGTGTAAATTTATCAAATTTTTTCCAACAACTATTACTTTTCAAAAAATTATGTAAAATTTTTGGCTGAATCTGCCCGACGAGCGTGTCGTTAAAATTGTTAAAATTGCCCGACAAAACTGCAATATTACAACATTGGGGGGCGGGGGCGGAGAGCGGGGTGTCCCACCCCCACAAACCCCAGTAGTTATGGCCCTGAGATATGGGGCTAAATATGTATACTGGTGGGGGGGGGGGGATCTGAGGAAGTTGGCGGGCTTCGATGTTAAAAAATTCTAATTGAAGAAAAGGGTCGTCTGACGGTCTTCCCACTGAAAGATTTTGCATCTTTGAAGCCCAGGGACTGCATAAAATACCGCATAACTGGCGTTTTCTGAAGGGAATTTGGAAATGAATTGCGTCCAAATTGACCATATATGGTACACACTAATTTTGTTGTGTGGATGTTTGATGCATGATCAGATTCTTTCAAGTGATTTAATAACGACTTTCTTATCTAAATATGTCAAAATTTTAACTTTATTTTACCTGAATATTCTGAATATACCGCGTACTTAATTGCTCGGAAACAGAGAAATACCAGTATGCGTACATTATTATCGCAACCTTGTTGACAATACTGAACTAATAATTGCTATACTGAACTAATACTGAACTATAAAAACCTCCGAATTTGATTAAACATGTTCTCGTTCATTACCAAACAACAGCTCATGTTTCTGCATTTGCAAGTATTAAAAATAAGTAGTTATGGATTTATATCTGTCCTTATGCCCTTACTGAACATTCTTTCTATAGTTTTTAGCCTAAAGTGGTTCTTCTGTATATTGGGTGTTTATTGGTATATTGTGTTCTTCGGTATATTGCATGGGTATTTACTTCCTACTTAGGCTGGTAGTATCCACCGGTTCTATCATGCGGATTTTTGGTTACTCGAAATGGAACTTGAATATCAATATCCAATAATTTGAATATCACATCCCTGAAGTATTATTAGAGAAGGTTCATTATTCATGAGTTGGGGGATTCAACTATTTTCTTTGGGTGTGAAAAGGGGGTTTAAATATTTTTAAGAAGTGTTTAGGGAGGGTGGGTTAATAAAATTTTATAGCTTTGACATAAAGAAGATGATATAGAGAAAAATTGTGCAGAAAAATTAGGGAAAAAT